TCATCATCATCATCATCATCATCATCATCATCATCATCATCATCAGCTTCACATTCCGGCTTGGACACGCACCACCGGCACCTTTGGCCTCAAACCACCGCCAGTGGGGCGGCTGCGAGTGAGATGGGCCTCCGCGGCCGAGGCTTCCGTTCCCAGGATGTCATGGCGGCGATGGGTGCAGGGGCCTTGGAAGCCAATGCGGACTTGCAGATCGACGCTGGGCCACAGCGGGGCGGGGGCTGGGCTTCTCGTGCTTCGGCCCAAAGCGGTGTCGAGTGCTTCTACCGGGTGTGTAGCAGTGGTGTCACCGGGTTCTCGGGCGTTTTGGTTCGGAGAAACCCAGCAGATTTTTGGGAGGACCAACAGAGGTTAAGTGACCTGAACTAGGATCCTACCAGGGTACCGAACTGGGATAGCTTAGTTCGGGCTCTTCAACCTCTGTTGGTTTTTGGGAGGAGCCAAGATTTGGGAGGTGTCCAAAGTTGGCTGAAGTGGCTGGCGGCTGGATGAGTGCAACGGTTCCGTCCAGCCGAGGTCCCGGCCCAGTGGATCCCGGTTACCACGATTTATATATTATATATAAGGAACATTAAGGAACTAGGGATTCTAGGTCTATGGTTTTAGTCTTTGGAAGCACTGGTTACCAGCTAGAGGCTATAGTCGTTTGCCTGGATGCCTTGGGTCTCTTATCCTCTAGCCACGAGTGTTGAAGATCGCAAGATGTTCAGCTTGGCGGTCGGAGCGGCGGCTCCTCACCCCTTATAGGAGACGGAATTGACCCTGCCCACCGACATCTACCGACCCATACCGCCCAAGGTGCTATGAATATCCAGGTCGTGGAAATTCGTGGAATGTGGAGGGTACCCTAATTTTGACGTACTGTACCTGTTTAAATGCATTAGGTTGGAGGCCATCTTGCTTGCCTGGGAGACACCCTCAACCTGCCTCAGCCCAACCTCGGCGACCTTCGCAGTAAAGAGTAGATCTGAGTACTGTCCCTAGGGTTCCAAAACACACGCTCAGAGGGTGTTCCACAAGTTATTCCTTTGAGACAAGGTTTCAGCTAATGATATGTTCCGCGTCAGTGCTGACAAGGAACTGGGAAGCCTCTTCCTGCCCCCCTCATCCACCCAGTCCAGCAAGTGATGATTGTGAGCATTTTTCTCCCCGTTGCCCACACTATGCATCACCTATATGCAAGATTCCTGGGCATCCAGTTGCAACTTGAAGACAACAAGTGGATGATGTTCTAGCAACATTTGTCAACACATGGGATCCCCAGGTAAAAGAGACTAATTAGTCGTCATTGTCGTCATCGCTGCAGAACTCATCCCAGTGCCCAAGGTCAGAATGACTTTTTTGCCTTAACATGATCGGATAGGTAAGGCACAAAACCGCCCCTAAGCTTTGAACATACAACAAGTCAAATATGGAAGGTTGTTAACAATCATCAGAGGGGCCCAAGGTAAAATCGCCGCAAGGCAATGAACTCGACCTTGCAGTTGTTGGCCGACTGGGCCACAGTCGCCATCCTTCCAATAAAATCTTCAGGCTTGTACCCACTGAAGAAGCGATGGTTGTAGCCTGAGTCAGTCCATCGCAGACAGTCTTGGACTTGGCCCCCATGTCAGGTTAGAATCTTGCGTGGTATTGAAATTAAGAAAATAAAACAAAACTTCTGAAAAGCCAGCCATGCAGCATTCTTCCAACTGCTGAAATGCTAGCTCCTGCCAAGCCTCACTTATAGGGTCTCTATCAAGTACAAACGGGGGGTGTGTTAGACATCGATAATTCCAATGTCAACTCAAGTCATCCCTTGTTGTTGGGCGATGAGATTATGCAGCCTAGTTGACCCCAACATGATCTGTTCCCAACAATATTTGGAAACAAGTAGCGTGTAGTTTTGGGCGGCTGGGAAAGAGCAGCACACCAGCTTCAACCGCCATGTTCGATAAAATTGCATATGCAAGAAGACATTCATCAGCAGTGTCTAGCAGATCCTTCGCCTGCGTTTCTGTCAAATACCTGGGAAGAAGTTCTGTTTTGCGATGCCACTCAGCGGCAGAGAACCTCGAGAGAAGTGAGAGGTGAAAGTTTCCATATTAAGCAAGACAACTAGCTAAACATATTGAACATATAAAAGTTAAAAAAGGGGGTTGCAACTCCACCGGCCCTATACCTCACGCAGAGGCGAGGTGGATGTGATTTTTGTAAAGATCTTGATTCTTGATCTTTTGTTGTGGTTTCCCTGGTGCGGATGGTGACATACCCCCACCTCCCCTCCCTCTCCATGTCCTAGGTTTTTCTAAAGATCTTCATTGAGGATCTTGTGCTGTGGTAACAATGCTGACAGCCCCCCACCTCCCCTCCCTCTTCTCTTCCCCCTCCCCCTGCAAGGAATCATTGATCAATGAATAGACATGGGCAGGGGACGTGGCCACAGCCGTTACTAAGTATGACCACTGGGCAAAACCGAGCAACAGCATCGATGCCATCAAGGACAACCATCGATCTTCAGGATGCGCCTTTGCAAACTCAATTGTCTCCTCACAAAGCCAAGCAACGCAGCATCTAGCCTCAAGTAGGCTCAAGCCTTGGGCGAAAGCCTGATGTCTGACAATACCTTTGCAATTCAAAGATATTGTTGAATAGCTTAAGATGAAGAGGGCCATGGATGTGAAAAAAAACAAACGGATACAGTATGCATACCCTGAGCATGTGTGTGGAAACCTAGGGTGGGAATTTCAGGAAATATATGAAAAGACCAGCAACATTCCAGGCTTTGCTTTGGAGCTCGGGCCAGGGATGCTGCTTGCTCTTCAATCTCCAGGGCCGGAATTTTGGCATTGAATGCCTCATCTTGGCAATCCCTTGATTGGGCTTTTGGGATTTTGAACCTATAAAAACACCAGCTAACTTAAAAGAAAAGAAAATCTGGACTAAGTAGTGGGAGTTTACTGTATCTTGTTTGTTCGACTCCAAGTCTTGAAGGATTCATAAGCAAGAAGTAGTCTGTCTCCCTCAACCAAGCCAAGACCACCAAAGGCACAGTCGTACTCTAGCAACTTCCGGAAAACACCACCACAAATCCAAAGATCAGCGCCTAAATTGATGGTGTGCATTCCATCCCATTTGATCATCTTGACGTCGAAAGCTGGTAGTCGGATCAAAGGACCTGAGGAAGAGATATGTCCAGGCTATTGCAAAGAGGTTGGACCCCAAATCGAGCTAATAAGGAAATGAGAAAAACATGCCTTGTACTACAAGATTCTTTGATCACCATCTTTGAGACCTTCAAGAAGGAAAGTCTGTGTGTCATGTCGGAACTTGGTGTGCAAACTCGCAGGGGCACTGAAGTAATTGGGCTGGCTTGCACGGCAGCAGTGGCAAACAGAATTGCATAGGTAGTTGCTGGACAACTGTAGCCAGTCCTGAAACCAACACATTCTTGTCCAACCATCGATGGTTAATTGAGCCCAGAAAAAGACACACAAAAGATTTTTGTTCCATTTCAAGAATCTTTTTGCCACTTCCAGTCTCCCCTGATTTCCGTCACCGCATATTTTGAGTTCGGCTTCCTAGGGTCAATGCTCACTCCATCATGGTAGAGACCACATAGTGAGTCCACCACCTAAGTCGTTGCAGTGGGATAGCCATGGCCAGCGAACTCGCAAAAATTGCTGGGCAGCAAGTTTGAGTGGCTTTGGCTTCATTGACAAATTTATGTTGGGCTGGCGCCAACAGGTGTTGAGTGAACTAGCTACAGGTTGGAGACAAGGCACTGCATCCAAAAGCTTGAAGATTGTTGGTAGTCCTGCTTTGATTTCCTTAGTGAACCCCGTGGCCAGAGATACTTGGAAACCCAAATTTGTAATCACCACCCAAATAGCAAAACTTAAACAACCAGCAATGCATGAAAGTTTCAGTGCGGCATAGGCACAGGGGATAGCAAGACTCAGCACTGTATTTTCTCGAATCAATGGCGCAGCCAAATGCTATCACCGTGATTTCCTCCCCATTCTCCCTGAACTCACATTCATCCCCCCAAAGCCAAATTGGGATGTGATTTCTCTCCGGGCTGATGTTTGCCAAAGGGGAACCTCGTTGGGCAAGGTGGTTCCAATACTGGCGAATGTCATCTTCCCTGATTTCTGGCCAATCACCAACGACATTGTGGGGCAGAACTATTGGATGTTTCCTGCAGGGCTTCAAGATCTGACTCACCCATATATTTATGCATATTTCACCCCCCAAGAAATACCAATTTGAACTAGACACATATAACCAAGATCAAAAACACATGATTGCAATTTAATATGACACAATCCCATCATATCCCATCAGACAGTCCTGATTTCCACACCATTGGGCCCTCGTGTTGTTTGCAAGGGCACATCTATCCAATCGATTTGCACCTTTGAAGGGATGCCACACTTATACAAAAAACCTTCATGGTGATCCAAACACATTGATTGGAGTGATTGGAATGCGTATTTAAAGTACTAGCGTGATATATGCGTATACAAAACATCAAAAAACACCTGTGGCAAAGCTGGCCTGTGAGGGATCTTTCTTGCTCACTTTCCGAAGCATGTCACGTTGTACATTCGACGTATACTTGCCCTTGCACCCAGCTTGCTGCAAGGATTTGCATGGTCCCCGCCATTGAACTCCGTGAAGTCGAAATTCCTGCAATCCAGGTCTGGCGGGGTATGGGATAGCTGGGTGGTGGGGCCACATATTGGTAAGAATCAGTCCAGGATGCTCTGCATGATGTTTTCTTGTTTTTGTTATGACACTCTTCAAATTATATAAATGTGAATAACTCAAAGCAACATCAACTTTGCCTGTAAGCTTTTCCACAATTGCAGTCCTTGTCAACATACGTCAGCATCTTTTGGGTCTTTGCAAATGAAGTTTCCTTGGTGCAGAAAGAAATGACTAAACCATTCCACCAAAGTTTGGGTGCAGTCACCTATGAGTTCAGACAAGCTTCTCCCAGCCCAGCTTCTTTCAGCAAGAAAGCATAGAGAGGAGAAGATTTGGCTGCAGCCAAGTTGGGACCTGCGTGGGCATTCTCAACATTGCCAATCTGTATTGCATTGAACTAGTTCCAGTACTGGACACACCCAGATCTAGCGGTCATGCTTTTATCAGAGAGCTCAAGATTTCCAGACTGGCTTTCCCCAGCCAGTGTCCAAAACTATTGGCGGCTC